CACACATCTTTCTTTTCCTTTCAACATAAGTCACAAAATATAATTAATGATTCTTTACCATTGGTAACATGTAACAGCCTAACAACTTATTCGGGACTGATGACTGTCCCCACAAACCAACACGAAACTTTTCAGTGTGCTTTGTCCTCACTCGCACACTTTCCGAGAAATTTCCAGAAGGTCACCATCCCATAATTGCTCCAAGTTAAGCACGCTTAACTTTGGAATTCTTAAGTGATAGGCTACCAAAAAGTAAATGCATTTTGTTGGTATAGGTAGTCCTAATCAATTCCTTTAAACTATCCTTAACTGTATACACAGTCTCTGGATCCCCATCTCATTCCGATGTAAGTTCGATTCATTCATGTGTCCCTTACCGCCGGAAGCCTGCCAGGTTGCCGCTTCTTGTCCGTGTCACATTGCACCGGCGATTACTCCCCGCCCTCGCCTAGAGCCTGGGTGTCACATGCCCACCAGCTTCCGCTTGGTTCGTCCTCGAACCACACCATACTAAGAGAGAGGCTTACTCTGATTATCAGAGCAGTTCATCCAAACTGGACTAGGGTATTGGGCTGAAGCGTCCAAGATAAGTGTTGATTGTTTTGTTTGCCTGAATTATAATGTATAAATTGATCTAATATACTGGAATGTGATTGCTGACTCGTTGTAGCTAGATCCAATATGTCTGGAAGAGGTAGAGGAGCTAGAGGCACCAATGACCTCATGGAACGCATGACTCAGATTCTGGAAGCCATGGTGCATAATCAAGACGGAGAGCCGGCTGAGTATAGAGGGTTATCTGCCTTCACTAGGCATGATCGTCCAAAGTTTGAGGGTGGATTCAACCCTGACGGAGCTCAAAGGTGGGTGGCTGATAAGGAGAAGATCTTCAATGCAATAGGGTGTCGTGAAGAGAACAAGGTCGCCTATGCCACCTACTTGTTGTGTGGGAAGGCTGAGGACTAGTGGAGGTTTGCCGGTCAGACCTTGCCACAAGAAGATGGCTACATCCAGTGGGAAGCATTTAAGACCATATTCGTAGGGAACTACTTTCCCGGGACCTAAGGAAGCAGAAAGCTAAGGAGTTCCTTGAACTGAAGCAAGGAAGTATGACCGTGGGGGAATATGCAGCTAACTTTCAGGAGCTGATGAAGTACTGGCCTCATTATCAGCATGGTGATGGAGAGGAGGATTTGTGTGCTCAGTTTGAGCATGGATTGAGGCCGGACATCCGAGCTACGGTCAGTGTGTTTCAGCTGACAAATTTGCCCACCATGGTGAACAAGAGCAGAATTTTCGAAGCTAACTCAAGAGGGAAGATGGTGGACACTAGGGGAGCTGGCCCAGTGAGGCAAGATAGGAGACCCCCTAGGTTCTCAAGGGGACCGTATTCAGGTTCAAATAGCTCTCAGTCTCGAGGGAGTTCATCTCAAGAGAAGAGCAGTGGGAGTGGTTTAGGATCAAGTTCTTTCAAATGGCCGCTCAAGTGCTTCAGGTGTGGAGGGCCACATGTGACACCCTTACTACTTACTAAGCAATAAATATAAATATAATCATAAAATAACCAAGCAGTAAGAACATCACATGCATGGGTCTATATCTATTCAGATATAGTGAAATTAAATACACTACCATTACTAGAAGTATTCATTTCATATATACACATCATCTGTTAATTTATACAATCATCCAGTTATCTAAATATATACATAACTGAATTACATACAAACTAAAGTGGGGTCACGATATCAGAGACGACAACCCAAAACGAAGACCTCACGAGCTTTCCCCTGGATCCATGATCACCAAAGTGCCCATTTCCTCCCAAAATTCAACAACGGTAAGGTTAGGCTTCCTATATACCCATTTTTCTTTTCAGTCAAAAGTACTTACACCTACGTATATGTATAGATTATTCCTTACTCGACTCTATCCTACTCTCCTTTTCCACTAGATTCCTACTCAGAGGAGGTAAAATTAGGAGGGAGTCCTGCTTGAGAAGCAGTCCTCTTCCTTCCGATAGCAGAAGAGGTGTTTGCACAGTGAGAAGAATCAGGAGAGTCTGAAGAACTAGAGGAAGACGAAGAGGAAGTGGATGAGATAGAGATAGGTCTTGCTAAAAGTGTGTCAACTAAACTAGTTCGTTCAACAGGTGGTAAATATGGTATAGAAGGACGTAAAGGTCTAAGAAAACCTGGGGGTAATACCGGGGGTGATAATACAAGAACAGGAGGTGGGGTAGGGGGTCTCACAAATTGTACATCTGGAGGAAATGGAAAAGTAAGTCTCATGGGTACTTGGATGGGGATAGGGTAAGCTCGTGGGCCTGGGCCATTTCTATCTAACAAAAAGGTAATAGAGCCAGTGTGGGTGAATCGTTGTTGCTCCCAGTCGTGCACCCATGTTCCCTCAGGATCATATCTGATCGAGACGCTGAATTGGTACGGTGGTCGAGCCATCAATGTTCTCACCTAATAAACATATTCACACACAACACACATAGCAATAAAAGGGTGAGACAATTTAATTCAATCTCCAGCAGCAAAAGACATATAAGGGTTTCAATCACACAATTAATTATCAACACCCATAATCTACCAAGCAAATGCATATGCCATGAATGAGAAGTGATGCAAGTCCATTATTATAACTTAGTACATTTTGACACATGCATGTGGGCCCAAAACCATCAATATGTTTCTTTTACTCAGGGAAGGATCAGGAGTTTCACTGTTACTTATCTGCCAACTTTGTTCATCTCATAATACAGTAACAGCTCTACTAATACAAAAATCTCTCGGGACCAGTCAGGATAGTAAAGTTTTGCAGTGAGAGTCTACAGCACAAGATGGCGAGCCTTGGCCACTGTCAGATTCAATCACACGTCACTATCCCCAAGACTACCCTGGAGCCGCCCCTAGATTTCTTATACTTCCCTGTCCACTCATCACACTATCACATGTTCATGATGCATGTCTTCACTCCTAATTAATGTAATTAGAGAAAAACTTTAATTTTTCTTTTCTGTTAAGTACAATCCTTAACTTTTTCTTTTCTCAATAAAATTCGACAGAGTCTCCTCTGTAAATCAGATATTCCAAAATTTTCTTCTTCCTGTAAAACAACCAGAAAAAAATCCAGAATACTTCTAATTCATTAAATTCCACCTCCATCATCTCAAAATCCATGGAAATCGTATCTTCCCCTCTTTCTTTAAATATGTTTTTATGCTTAAAAATTAAAAACTTAATCATTTTAAAAATGATTCAAGCCTTCCAAATATCCAATACTACTTTCTCAGTAATATAATTTATTTATTTATTTTTATTAAATCTATTTTCAAAAGAAGTCAAAAGATACTTGTACTATATATAAAATACATAATTATATATATATACCTTAAAAACATATTTTCTTCTTTCCAACAAGTCTTAATGGACATTTAGATTATAACAATCTATATGCTCACACCACATGAAACTATATTACTTCCAATCTTTACTATTATATGGCATTCCTACCAACAAGAATATCTACACATGCACATAATGAGAATTCAACCAATTATAAAGAAATATTTCAATACAGCACTTCAACCATAAATCATTCCATTACATTAATTTAAATACACAAAAGACCTTACATATAAGGGAGAGTCCTTGTTCAATCAATTTCCTGGTCTAAGGCAACCTTTCACACATGTCAAGTGCTATAACAAAATCTTCTAAAAATTATGGGATAGCTCTAAAACAACCCAAATTCATTTTATTTGATTAGAACAATAAAGAATCATTCCCTTATGGTTCTTAATGCCACCTATTGAAATAAAATTATCCCACCCCTTACCTTACGGATATTCTTTGATGAAGATATGGATGAATTTTTTCTGATTCTTTAGAAAACTCGAACAATCCAATCTTCGAAACGATCAACCTAATCAATTAATCATGCCTAAACATAATTAATACTAAGGAGATGCTAATTTTATACTCTTATATGTATATGTAAAAATTGAAATTTTCTAACTTTTGCTATAAAAGTCCGATTAACACAAAATTAGTTTCTATGATCTAACTAATATAAAAGAATAAAATGGAATTGAAAAACACTCACTTCACCTTCTCTAAAACTACATGGCAGCCAACCCTTGTGAGGGTTTAGTGCTTTTTAATCACATTTTTGAAAAACTAATTATGTAAACAATATAAGCCATGCATAGTCTACATATAGTACAAAAGAAAGTAAGTTTAAAAACCAATAATTTTGAAGTAAAGTAAGACCCATTTTTACTGTTCATGACAGCCAAAAATAGAAAAAATTTAAAATTTTAATCGGATGAAATGATAATTAACAACTAATTAAGCTTAATTAAGGATATATATTAAAAACATACCTTAAAACAAGCTTAAATGAGTGGAAGAAAATGAAAATGGCATAAGGGAGAAGAAGGGGTTATGGACTTGGAGAAGAAGAAGATTTACGTAAGAAATGGTCAATTTAGTCAAATATATAAAGAAATAATAATATAATAATCAATTATTTTACTATTTTAATGTAATTAAATAAAATAATTATGAATAAAATTCAAAAATAAAAATAATTTATGCCAAACAATTAAAATAATTATAACATAATTTTTGACATCAATATCTCTTTGGTTATCACTTAAAAAGAAAAAGAAAAGGAAAAAAAAAATCACACAGTTCCTGTGAACACATAAAACAGTATTTACCAAAAATTCAAAAATAAGCAATAATTACCAAAATAATTATTTTTACACTCCAAATATTATTTCTAATTAAAATATAAATTTTTATTATTTAAAATAATTCTTCTAGATTAAAAATGCTATATTTATCCTCATAGAACAATTTTAACCGGTATAAACGAGCATTTTTATTTATTTTATTTTTTTTTTCAAAAATTGAAGAATTATAATCTAAATTATAACTATATTAACAAATTAACTGTTTAGGAAAAACGAGGATGTTACACCACACATGGTGAAGGACTGCCCACAGCCGAAGATAACTTGTAGCAACTGTGGGAAGTCGGGGCACCTTGCCAATGAGTGCTGGGGCGCTAAGAGGGGAGGCAGTACAAGTACAACTCAGAGGCCGGAATCAAGAGGAAGTACAGGGTCGAGTATGGGGCAAAAGCCGAGCATTCCTCGTAGAGTCTTTACTATAAGTGGGGCAGATGCTTCACAATTTGAGGAACTGATCCGAGATAAATGTATAATTAAAGGCAGATTACTTGATGTGTTGTTTGACTTGGGTGCTACGCACTTCTTTATATCTGTGGACTGTGTGAATAGTCTGAATTTGTAGTGACGGAATTACCGTGTAATGTTGTGGTGACTACCCCTACAGGTAAGCCGGTTGTGACATCATGGGTGTATTTGGAGTGTGCAATGATGGTACATGGTAGGAAATTTGAGGTGGACTTGATCTGTTTACCTCTTTTGCAATTGGATGTAATTCTGGGAATATATTGGCTAGCTGCCAACCATGTGTTGCTGGACTGTAGGGAGAAGACTTTGATCTTCGGTGCGACAACGACAGAGGTTCCAAGGCTTATGAGTCAGGGAGCGTGGGAGAACACGGTAAATGCCAATGCTTTCATGGTTATGTTCTCAATGGAAATTGAAAGTGTGGTTGAGCCTGAATATATTTCGGTGGTGAGAGATTTCTTGGAGGTTTTTCCCGAAGATGTTTCTGAGTTACCGCCTGAGAGGGAAATAGAGTTTGCTATTGAACTCATTTCGGGGGCAAGTCCAATTTCTGTGGCACCTTACAGGATGTCACCAGTGGAGAGGTCAAGAAGCAGGTGGAAGACTTGTTGCAGAAAAGGTTTGTGAGACCGAGTGTGTCACCATGGAGAGCATGAGTGCTCTTGGTGAAGAAGAAAGATGGAAGCATGAGGATGTGTATAGATTATCGGCAGTTGAACAAGGTAACGATCAAGAACAAGTATCCACTTCCAAGGATTGACGATTTGATGGACCAGTTAAGGGGAGCCGCTGTGTTTTCAAAGATTGATCTGAGATCGAGATACCATCAAATCCGAGTGAAGGATGCAGTATGGTCACTATGAGTATTTGGTGATGTCGTTTGGGGTGACCAATGTGCCTGCGGTGTTCATGGACTACATGAACAAGATCTTCCACGAGTTTTTGGATATGTTTGTAGTGGTGTTCATTGACGACATCCTAATCTATTCAAAGACTCAGGAAGAGCATGCCAAGCATTTAAAGGTTATTTTGCAAACTTGAGGGAGAGACAGCTGTATGCGAAATTCTCCAAGTGTGAATTCTGGTTTTCAAAAATTCAATTTCTAGGGCCTGTAGTGTTAAAGGAAGGAATCATGGTAGACCCTGCAAAAGTGGAAGCAGTGGCCGAGGCCAACGAATGTGACAGAGGTGCGCAGTTTCCTCGGATTGGCAGGCTATTATAGGAAATTCATTGAGGGATTTTCTAAAATAGCGTTGCCCTTAACGAAGTTGACCTGAAAGGAAAGAAGTTCAAGTGGATCAAGGGGTATGAAGCTAGTTTCTTGGAGCTGAAGATAAGGCTGACTTCGGCGCCGGTGTTAGCGCTGCCCAACCCGAAGCATAAATTTGATGTGTATTGTGAGGCATCTGGGCAAGGACTTGGTTGTGTTTTGATGCAAGACGGGCGAGTGGTCGCCTATGGCTCGAGGCAGTTGCGCCCATATAAAGTCAACTATCCGACACAGGATCTGGAGTTAGCCGCAGTGGTTTTTGCTCTTAAGGTATGGAGACATTACCTATATGGAGCAAGGTTTGAAGTGTTTAGTGACCACAAAAGTTTGAAGTATTTATTTGATCAAAAGGAGCTGAATATGCGGCAGAGGAGATGGATGGAATCCCTTAAGGACTACGACTTCACATTGTCTTACCACCCTGGCTAGGCAAATGTGGTAGTCGATGCGTTGAGCCGCAAATCATTGCACGTGGCAGCCATGATGGTGAAAGAGATGAAGTTAATTGAGGAATTTCGGGACATGAATTTGGCCATGGAGGTGAGGCCGGGAAGTTTATATCTCAAAGCGACGACGATTCACAACAACTTTCTAGTGTACGTCCGAGATGCTCAGCAAGGAGATGCCTTTCTGCAAGACATGATGAGATAGAGAGGTGAAGGGAAGGACTTGGAATTCCACCATGATGAGAATGGGGTGATTAAGTTTTGGAACTGAGTGTGCATTCCTCAAGTGGATGAGCTGAGGCAGATGGTGCTTAAGGAAGAGCATAAGAGCAGGATGAATTTTCACCCCCGATGTAACTAAAATGTATTAGAATCTTCGAAAGAGTTTTTGGTGGAATGGAATGAAGAGAGACGTGGCTGAATATGTGGCTAGATGCCTAACTTGCCAAAATACGAAGGTAGAACACCAACGTCCCCCCTGGGTTGTTACAGTCGCTGGAGATCCCTGAGTGGAAATGGGATAGTATTTCCATGGACTTTGTTTCTGGGTTGCCTAAGACCAGGAACAACCATGATGCCATATGGGTGATAGTTGATTGGTTAACCAAGGCTGCACACTTTCTCCCTATCAACATGAAGTATAAGTTGGAAAGACTTGCAGAGTTATATGTGCGGGAGATAGTCAGGCTGCATGGAGTGCCTACTAGCGTGGTATCAGATAGAGATCTGAGGTTTACTTCGAGGTTTTGGGAGAGCCTGCAACGGGCATTAGGGACTAAGTTGAGACTGAGCTCAACTTATCACCCACAGACTAACGGTCAGACTGAGTGGACCATCCAATCCCTAGAGGACTTGTTGAGGGCTTGTGTGCTTGGGAAGAGTGCTTGCCGCTAGTGGAATTCACGTACAACAATAGTTATCAAGCCAGTATTGGAATGGCACCGTTTGAGGCCTTGTATGGGCGAAGGTGCAGAACTCCGTTGTGTTGGTATGAAACTAGAGAGGCGACTCTATGTGCGCTGGATATGATCCAAAGGCAGAATGGACAAATTAGAATGATCAGAGATAAAATGAAGGTTGCCCAAGACAGGAAAAAGACCTATTATGATAGAAGACAGAAGCCGTTAGAGTTTCAGGTGGGTGACCACATATTTCTGAAGGTCTCGCCTGTAACCGGAGTGGGGAGAGTCTGAAGTCTCAGAAACTATCTCTTAAGTTTATTGGGCCGTTCGAAGTGCTGAGTAGAATTGGTCCTGTTACATATTGGATCATGTTGCCTCCAAATCTCTCGAATCTACATTCGGTATTTCATATGTCGCAGCTTAGGCAATATGTGCTGGATCTTTCTCATGTGATTGATCTTGACCCGGTTCAAGTGAGAGAGGACTTGTCGTATGACGTATACCCGGTGAGGATTGCGGATCACCGTGTTAAACAGCTAAGGGGTAAAGAGATATCATTGGTGAAGGTAATATGGAGCTCGAGTGATGAGGGAGATGCCACATGGGAAACAGAGAGTATAATGAGAGAATTGTATCCGAAGTTGTTCTTGTAACTGTATATGTTTGGTTGAATTTTGAGGACGAAATTCCTTAAAGGCGAGGAGAGTTGTAATGCCCTGAATTTCAGAAATATTAATTATTGTTATTTATATAAAATCTAAAGACATATATATATATATATATATATATATGTGTGTGTGTGTGTGTGTGTGTGTGTGTGTGTGTATAAGCGTAAATGGATGTTGAAAAATTGCATTGGATGTATGATGATGGTGTTTTGTGTGTAATGAGTATGAATATATGTACATATATGTATGTTATGGATATGTGTGTATATATATGTGTGTGTATGCATGACTGGATGGGGCTGAAATGAGCTAAGTGCCTAAGTGCAAGCGTGATACTAGGCTGTTTTCGCTGCAGCGAGAGGGCCTTGGGAGGAAGGACCAAACTGTCGCCTTCTCGCTGCAGCGAGAGACGTCTTGCTATAGCGATAGAGCGACAGTTTGAGGTGTATTTTTGGGGTGCAGTCTCACTATAGCGAGATTCTGCAGAAACTATAGTGTAGTTTCGTCTGAGATTTTCGCTGCAGCGTGAGTTGTAGCGAAAGTGTCGCGACCAGAAAAGGATTTAAAGGGGGTTAGGGTTCGGGGAGGGTTATTTCTCCCTCTCCCTTTGAGATTCCTTGGATCCTCTCATCTCAAACCTTTTCCACTGGTTAAATTGCCTCCAAAGCCGTTTGGAAGCTAGATTGAAGGTTGAATCCGTGTGGGGAACGCTTGGAGGTGAGTTTTAATGGTTAGGGTTTTAGTTTTTCATCCCTTTCTCTATTTTCGTGGTTTCCCTGAGTTCTCATGGACTTTCTCCATGTGTTTAGGACGAAATCCGTGAGGGGAAACACTTCTTGGTGGATTTAGTGTATGGGTCTTCAATCCGAGGTAAGGGGGACTCTACCCTACTCTTTTTATGTGTAATTGATTGAATACGGAGTTGTGGCTGAATTAGAAGGTAGAAAATGTATAGAGAATGAAAGTTGATTAAGAATTGTGATGAGGGCCATGTGCCGTGAGATGTGAATATTGTGTGTGTTTACTCAAAATGGATGAATATGAATTGTATGCTAGATGTTGCATGATAGAATGAATATTGTGTACAAATGTGGGCCCGAGGACTGTGTAATATAAATGAATATTGGCTATGTGCCGTGTAATGTGAAATGAATGTGTGCCTAGTGCCGTGTATTTAAATGCAATGTAGGTTGTGTATTGTGTGTGAGCATGATCATTGCATGCGTGAATGAAATATGTGTGAATGGGCGTGTTAGCGCCGTTATGATATGCTGTGAATGGTTCAGCGATACACTGGGGGTGTGGAAGATGAGGATGGTAGAAATACCTTGGGAAAGAGGGAGTGGTGGTGACATCGACTGTGGAACGGGTGTACCACGGGCCACACACTCTCTTCCTGACTAAACCTTTGACCATTTGCTGAGCAACCCGTGACTGCCCACGTGGTATCCGTGAGGTGAGGGTAATCGGCGACCATTCATAGTAGAAATCTGTGATCACAGTGCCACAATAAGTGTGGGTAATGTGCGTATGCACGAGTTTATGTATTGTACTCATGGATGTGAAATGTTGCCGATGTCATGAGCACATTAGTGTTAAATTGACATAAACTGTGTGATAATGCTGCCTGAAATTGTATTTATTAATGTATTGGAAACGTGCTGAAGGTGAGACTTTATATTGACTGTGTGTTTTTGGGTAGTGTAGAATACTCACCCTTACATTTATTTTTCAAGTAATCAAGACGATCAGCACCGGACTCATTGAAGGGGTGGATGGAACTGCTATAGGACTTAGCTTTTATTTTGAATATGTTATAACTGAACTAGTCTTGCAGCAGTCATTTGATATTAATTTGTAACCCTTCCCTTATTTCAAAGTATTTTATGAAAATTTGGTTGTTCGAATTTGTGAAATTACTATTTAATTGAAATTAAATTTAAGGTGTTACATAACACCTTTTTTTTCAAGGTCTACTCTCATTGTTTTAATTATATTGAGAGGGATAAGGAAGGAAACGCACGAAAAGAATTAGTAATTTGGATCCATGTTTTAGTGTTTTGTTTAGTTAATGTAAAAGATTAGTGCATATAATTATTGTTTTTTGGATTGACTTGATTACCTCTTACATTTACCCTTACTTATGAAAGTTCTTGAACACCAAGTCTATTATGAAATTGAAAAGACATACATCCTATGAAATACATAAAGCCAATACTCCACCATACAAATTACAAGACATTAAAAGAAGTCTCACAATAAGACAAACAAAATATGGGATTTGATATGAAAAAGAACAAGTAAAAGCATCAAATTTAGTTTAGTCATCATTAATGTAACCAATCAACTTCATTCAGATATGACAAGTAGAGATAAAGGTAAGAAAGGTGTTATTTAGCGTTTTAGTCATAGTGGTAATTGTAACACTCATTTACTCATTGGGGATGGGGAGTCGCTTTGCAGATGTAATGTCCTCTGCATTTATCACCAAGGATGCCCCTTCTTTTATGCCTAAGGAGGTGGAGGATATAGTTTGCACTCAAGTTCATGCCCTAAATGAAGAGTTTTAGAAGTAAAATGAGAATATGTGAAAGAATAAGAAGCCTACATGAAAGAAAAAGTAGGCCAAGTAAATGGAGAAGGTCAAGAAAAAGGTGACATTGATGATGGAGAGGGAGGTGCAGCAGTAATATATACAGACACAATAGATACATACATACTTCAAACTTATAAGAGTGAACAGCTTCATACCTCTTTCTCCTCATACACCAGCTCCAATATCACTAGTTTTTAGGATGATGCAACATTCATTCTCCTCTTCCTCTAATGATAATGGTTGGAACGATATCAACAATGACGGCGATGCAAATATTAATGATGTGAATATTCAAGTTTATTTTGGTATTGCTTTTGACTTTGTTGTTTTATTTTTAATATTATTATTTTAGATGTTTACTCTTCATTATTGTAATGACATTTTAATTTATAGTTTTTAAAATTTTTAATTTTAATTTCATAAATCTTTTTTTTGTTTACTAATTATTATGATAATTAACAACAAAGAGTAATAATTATAAAAGTAAACAACAGGAAAAAAAAAACTAAACAAAAGATATTACAAAAGAATTTTTGTTATTTATAGATAGTATAATTTGTTTGTAACTTTACAAACGGTAAAGTCTGTTTAAAAATTAAAAAATTTAGACTATCTTTTTAACAATTTATAGACAGATGTATCGATCTATAACTTTTTAGATGGTAAAAATTATCAATAAAATTGTCTATAAATTACAAATGGAAGTAAAAACTTACCCGTAACCTTTTAAAATATGTTTATATTTCGCTAAATTCTTGTAGTAAAAACACGTAGAGAGAAAAGCTAAAATTACTTTGCCTAAAATTGATTGATTGAATGAATTGATTTAACTATTAACAAATGCAAGTAAAATAACATAAAAACATTTTCATTGTTTTGCATTAGCAACTATTGGTTAATTGCTTATAGAAAAACATAGAAGACAACTCTTTCGACCAAATCAAAATATTTTTCTAGAAATATTCTTTCTTAATGCTTTTATTGATGTGCTTCTATATAACCTATGGTAGTATCATTATTGTATCCTTAAAATACTACATACACAAAACATAACAATCCTTTAATATATTTACTTTGTTGCTATCAGTACCTTATAGTTAGGTGGTAGAATATTTAAGCATAAGAAAAGAATACTTATTACCCACTTAATCATAACAAGGGGTCAACAATTTTATTTTTCCTTAAATAAAAGTGATAATAAGATTTTACTTTAAATTTGTTTTTCAATGTGTTTTTAGTTTTCTATTTTGAAAAACTATTTTGCATAACAAATTTTAAAGCATTTTTTCCAAAAAGAAAATAAAAATCTTGTTTTGTTAATTAAAAAAAAAGAGAAGAAATTGGGTGAACATGATACTTCAAATTTTGGCTTTTTAGATCTCTACATTTAGATGCTCCATGGTTGACAAACATAATGATTTTTTGGACGACTAGGAGTGTGATAGTCGTTGTGGCTAGATAATAAATCTAGACCTGGTTATTGTGTGGAATTAGATCTAATCATTAATAAAGTAGTTGCAATAAATAATAGTAGTGTGACTGGTTGAACTATGCTTTCAAGACATGATAATGGTGGATCAACAATAATTTTAAATTTTAGTGGATGATTTAGTGTTCTTATCACTCAATTGTTTTTACAACAATATAGGCAAATGGTAAAGCAATTTGGAAGGTGAATTAAAGAATAAGAAAATGGTAGAATTGATTTTGAAAACAACTTTAAATTGTTCTTGATTTATTTTTCCTATTAAAAGCTAAAAATTAAGGATTACATTTTAAAACAATTATGAAAACTTTTGTCAATAAACAACTTTCTTATTCTTATATTTTTTAGAACTAAATCAATTTTTTAAAACATTAAACTAATTGATTTAATGAATTTTTTAATAATTTTAATATTATAAAAGCTCTAATCCTAAAAATTAACATATCCTATTTATCAAACTATTTCAATATAACCAACTGTGGACCTAATTATATTTGAGAGTATATGCAAATGTACCCACTCATTTTGATAAAATAACAATAAATATTTTAACTATATGTATTTTTTTCCTAATAAATTCACATTTTGACTTCTTAAGAGAAAATTTTAATCATTTTATAAATAATTAATCATTTGTTAAGCAAAAATGCATAGAAATTATAGTTATCAAACATAAGTCTATAATTTTAAGAAAATTGAAAAGAAGAAGAAGAAGTTTTATGTATAATGTATCTTTAATGGGTGCATTTGGTGCATTAATAAAAAAAAGTTGAAAGCTTACTACAAGTAAAAAAATTGAGTTTCTACTATTTAATAAATTCAATCTTCAATTAGGGATTTCTAAAGAATTAAGGTTTATAATTAAAGAAAATAGTGATTGTACTAAGAAATTGAGTTTTTACTATTTGATGAATTTGATCGTCAATTAACTCTTTGAATTTTAATTTTGATTACTTGAACAAAAGGCCAGGTGAACTCATGTACTATGAAATTTTTTATTTTGATCTACTGAAGCGGAGTAGAAAATTATAACATGCCCATATATAACATAGGTTGACATATTGACTTGCTAAAAACTATTAAAGAAATAAAAAAAAATATATTAAAATTTCCCTTAAACATTAAATTTTAACTAAAAGCAATAAAGTTAAAATTTTTAAATGACACAAAAATTATCAAAAATATCTAGGTACAAGTAAATTACATGTAATATAATAATTTATCGTGCTAAAACCTTAAAAAATCAAGTGAAAAAAATTTAGAGCTTAAAATATCTAACATTTCCAATCTAATTGTCATAAAGCATCAAACTTTACGGTCAGAATTTCAAAAAATCTAAAAATCAAGAACAGTGAGATGATGAAAGTTAAAGAGAGAGAGTAAAAATACTCATGATTAATAAAAAAAAATAAAAATATTCTCTAAAAATTATAAAAAGGTTGAACTTTAAAAAAAAAGGTAAGGATATTTTTAAGTAAAAATAGATAAAAATAACGGTATAAATAGAAAAAAAAAAACAAGAGTGCAAAAACTAACAGCCTTATCTTGATCAAATCTAACCTATATTAAGTCTGAAAAACTCGCAAAAAATTAAATTTTACGTATTTTAAATACTACTTTTACAAACTTAAATTACTAAACATTTTCAGAATTGTGAATTAGCCAATTTTGTCAGCTTTAATTCTTCAGAATTTTTAATTATGTTGGGCCTCAATGGAAAATCAGTTCAAGGAGAGCCCAACTTCACGTTGGGCCCACTATCCAAAAAGCTGCTACAGTTAGTTTTGGGAAGTAAACATGACAGGAATAAAATAATCAATTATCCATTAATTGAATTCCCGCCTTGACCGCTCGACAGGAAAAATGACCTTCCGTGTCGTCTCAGCTCCGCCGTCCTTCTCTTTCTTCACCTGCCGCGCCACCGCCGTCCCTCCGCCTCCGCCGACACCTACTTCTTCAGTTCCACAGCCACCGCCGCTAACGTGCGCACTTCACTGCCCCATATATATATATATATATATATATATATATATATATATATATATATATATAATTTTCCGTTTCTAACTATTTGTATTATTGGCTTCAGGTGGTCGGGGTGCAGCACATCATCCTAATATTAATGCCGCTGTGGAGCTGGTTAGACAAGGTATTTTCTTGTTTTGTTGTTATTTCTATGTTTATTTTATTTTATACTTCAATTTATTTCTTTATTTGAATAATTTTAAATATGTTTTTCCTCAATATCATCTAGGTATTACTGAATTAGGTGTTGAGCCATATATTGAAGATGAAGGTACAGGCGATTTGCGATACATCCAGGTGACAGGTTTATAACAATATCAAATAGGGTAGTCAATAAATTTGGTTAAGAATTGAAGTTTGAATTTGGTAAAATTAACCACTGGTGGGTGGGTGTTTGCAGATGGCTGTGACAACATACAACACATTTCTTCCTGCAGCAGAAAGATATAAGAATGGTTTATGTGAGAAAAAGGAGTTGATATTTTCTTGTTGTTAATGGATTTGAATAACCATTATTTCATTTAAATTATGTGGTTTCAGGAAAAGGTTCAGGTTACATTGGTTTGGAATTCAAGAAATGAAAATACACCTGCTTCAGACGAACTGAATGCTTGGCAAATGTGAGCTTACTGCTTCCTTTCTAACATAATTGTTGTTTTAAACTGCTATAAATTCCCTTGCTCCTTCCCCAATTGGCCATAAAAAGAGATTTTTCATAGGATTGATTGCAGTTTCTATGGAAAAATGGTGGGCCAAGGAACAGGCTTCGTTTAATTCACTCTCTGTGTGGGCCAACTTTCAGACTTCTACTAACAATGTGAGTTTACATTGTTGTTATGAAACGAATGAATGGTTTGTATGTGATTAAAATGGAAAATGGTATGCTTTGTGTAATATAGGGAAGATAGATGTTTTAGTTGTAGTAGGGATGTAAGGAAAGCTCTTGGTTCATAAACTGCTGTTGAATACCATACAAATCATTTGGTGCTGGAAATTTAAATCAGACATATTGTTGATCCATAATGGTCATATCTTCATTTTTTGTGGGAACAAAGTACTGTTATACTAGTTTTCTCCAAACATCTTGTGGTGGGCAAACTAAAAAGAGTTTTAAATATTCTATATCATGTTGGATTTTTCAACTTAGATTGTCTTTGGAAAATGATTTCATATAAACCGGAGGGTGACATGAATTATGTTGATAATACATGTTTGAGGGGCAATCTTTGGATGTTGAAATTCTAAAACTTTATATCTCCATTTCAGTTATTATGTAAAAGTTAAAACCAGATTAAGAACAGCATGATGTGGGAGCATATAAATCATTAAAAATAAATATTTTTTAATTTTATAAGTACAAAACATAAAATTATTTTACATAATATGAATAAGTATTGGGTTAACATTAAAAAAATAAAATATGTTAGTATCATGTAGAATTTTTAGTGAAGTGATATATATTTATTTGTGTATTACAATACAACCAACTATAGTATATCATAGTTAATGTCAGACCTTAAAGGAACAATATGAGAAGAAAGTGAGTGACAGAAATGAGAATGTTAAGGTAGATGAGTGAAGTATGAGAAAGGACAAGAAAAGAAATGATAATATATGGGAGAATATTGAAATAACATCTATGGTAAAAAAAGATGACTGAAAACCATTTAAAGTAGTTTGGTCACGTGCAGAGAAAACTTTTGGAGGCACTTGTAAGAAGAGTGGATTACATGGCTTTTAGTCTTGGAAAGAGTGGTTGAGGGAAACTCAAAAAAACCTTAGATAAAGTTATTAAAAGAGACCTTTTAATTAAATACATTTATGAAAATTTAGTTTTTGATCAAACTCAATGGCAATGTATAATGCATGTGATTGACCTCATCTAGTGGGATAAGGTTTAGTTGTTGTTGATATATATTTATTTGTCAATGTCATTGATAATTTGTAAAACATTTAAACCGTTTTGATATATGACATTTTTCAAAAGAGTATTCGATTTTTCCCATGATAATATTTTGCATTGGTGACATACAATTTCTTCCTTTTTCTTTTAAATATGATATAAGTGCAGGTGTATTTATACATCCTTTATGTAAACTTTGTTCATGAATCATGATATATTTCATAGTACCCCTTTGGTCAAATTTTATTTATTTATATATTTATAAGCAAATTTCAGTGCCCTGCTTTCCTGTTTTAAAGAATAATGTTTATAAAAAGCAATGGTTGTTGAAGATTGATGATTGTTGAAGACTTAAGAGTGATGGTACAAGAGTAATGATTATTGCTAGCATTCATTAATTGAATAAATATTATTATTGAAGATGAAATGGTTTTTGTTTTGGTGACGGAAAGGACATGCAACACATGTAGGAGGAAAATGCATAAGCTTGCAAATGCAATGGCTGGGTGGGTCTTAGAAGGTGATGACTAGGATTATATTTGATGTGGCAAAATATGTATACATGGCATAAAAATAGATGAGGTGAGTGTAAGCCTATGACTCAGTTTTAATATATTATAAATAAATAAAATAAGCTATTTTTAACTCGGATTCCTTGTATGCTGATCTTGCTAACTTTTCTAGACAACTTATGATTAATTCATAAAGCATTATGACATGCATAATTGTTTTTATAAATAATTCGTGGCTTTGAAATGCTTACTTGATGGCTCAGATAATTTTTGGGAATAGATGGAGACACCTTGGAGAAAGAGATTTTTGGTAACATGTCAGTGGAATTGATGTGTCCTTGGCCCCTTCTAGTTTTGGCCAGGCAAACACATGGGTAAATATTCTAATTTAGTAAACCTTTGTAATTTATATGGCAGCCAGAGAATGGATTTAGTCTATCTTGAGTTAGTTACAATTGAAAACATGGACACTAGACACAAAATACATGCACACACAGTCACACAGTACATATTGTATAAATAAATAACTCTTGATGTGTAAATACATATTTATAGAATTGTTTCATCAAGAATTATATGAAAATATATCTAAATTCTAAACTATGCTTAGTATGTGTGAGAGGATGAGCCTTGGTGCAATAGTAAGGTTGTTGCCTTGTAACTAGAAGCTCATGGGTTCAAATCTTGGAAACCTCTCTACTTGCAGTGGTAAAAGCTGCTGCATATACCTTTCCCAAATCCCACGGGGTGGGAGCCTTTTGCATTGGGTCACCTTTTAATTTTTTATGCTTAGTAAGTTTAGAAACTTTTTATTGGATTGGTAGAAACATATTTAGGTGTCTTACCGTTGTCAACTATTAACTTATCGGCTTCTTTTGTTTCTAAGAGCATTATTTTAAGGTCTCACTTCCTCACTGTGTTAATGTGAATTTTATGAGTTTTAAGTGTCAGGCACTTGTTGGACACAAAATGCTGTGTTTTTATGCTTGTGTAAGTATTGAACTAAAAAGAAAATCTCCTTAGTATGATGAAGTAGTGAAATGCATGAAAACACGCATTCTATGTATGCGTGAATCCAGTGTTGTTGTATGACTGTGGACTGCTGTTCCATTAAGCATGAAAGGACTACTGTGATAGGACTCCTGTCTTGCTTCCTCATTTTTCTAGGCTTTTGATAACTTGCTTCGGAAGTTACAGAAGTATGTTCCACATGAATCAGCCGTTGCTCATTTGTATGTTGGAACTGGGGTCATTGTGTTGTCATTAGCTGCCACAAGAAAATGCAGGCAGATCATTCTAAAACTCTAAAATGCTATGTTCTAACTTTCTGTTACATAGTTGATTTGGAGGATTTACTTTTCTAGTTGTCTTATAGATCCACTAAATGCATTGAGATTAACAAAGAATCGGAGGCATCTTTTGAGAAGACCATTGAACGTTTACCTGCCACTGTTGAAAACAGTATTACTTGGCATCATGCAGATGCTTCAAACGTTACTGAATATCTGAAGCATCATCATATATTTCATGTTTTAACTTTTTTTTTTATTTCTAATTCACATAACTATCATTACTGCAACTTAAATTTTGGTATGCACATTTATTTATCAACATATGTGAAATTGTTTTCTGAAAAGGCTAACTTTTTTCATAAGACCAAGAGTCATGTGTTATTTGGGACTGATTGTATGAATTGTTCGCAAGTAACAGGAACCTTTTTTGTGGCTTGTGGGCTCAGATGTTGTCATTGATCCTCCCAAGAAAAGACTTGATGCATCTCTTATAGAATATATCAGCAAATCAAGCGTAAAGTTTTATCATCATCCAGTGTTGTTAAATTGCGAGCCATGGCAGCCATGGCAGAAAATGTAGAAAAATGATGTTTTTGTGGGAAAAATTGAGTTGGGCCACTGACTCGACCTGCTCCAAAAAGAAAATCCGTGAGTCCAAATCCTAAATCACATATTTTTTCCCTTTTTTCATTGCTGCTGTGCCACTGTGGAGTGGCGGTGGGCTATTGTGCTGCTGAGGCGTTGTTTGTAATGGTGGAATAGGGAATATCGCTTCATCATTTGATAAAATTGTGTTGAAAGAATATGAAAATTTGAATATAGTTTACATCACTTTTTGTATTTTATTCATCTCCATGCTTTTGATCCAAGTAACACAAAACTGAGGAACAACTTTTTATGGAATTAAGAAACCAACTTGTCCCAAGGGAGCTGCTTGGCCATTCAATGACTAGGAAAGCTTCAGTTCCTCCTTTCTCTGCCCTTTGATTTTGCCAGGTGAGGAAAAACTGTCAGAATATTGTGGGCAAGTAGATCCTGCCTCGTCAAGATCCCAATTACAGGAGATAGCATCATTTGGTTAGTCATATATGTTAATTTGAAATAATTAAAGATCAGCCATCAATTTTATTTTGCTTCTGAAATGCTACAAGAAAAAAATTTGATGGGTCTATTCATGTTTGAATGGTGTTGATATTAATGATGTGTTTGATAAACTCACCCCGGAAGCTTGATACTTGGGTACCACAAGCAGATGGCGAAGTTCAACTTGCCTGAAGAGGATCATTGCTTTTGCTATTGACAAGCTCTCTAGCACTGTAAAGGGAGTTGTATTGGTAAGAGGATGTAGATCAACGAACATCTCCACTTCCTAATGAGAAGACAACAAAACTTGTCCCTTTGATTTTGAGGTATTTTTAAGATGTGCATATATAAGAAATATAAAAATAATTGTATATGATATTCCATACATATGTAATCAATATTTTTTTGTTTAAAAAATAAAACTGATATTATGTCTATCCTTCTGACACGTTGGTTTGCTACCAATTAGATGTCAGAATGTCAAAATGGTGTGATCCAATAGGGTTAGGATCTCTTCTCCATTGTCATTAGGAAGGAAAAAAAAAAAAAATATATATATATATATATATATATATATATATATATATGTATGTATGTATATATATATATATATATATATATGTATGTATGTATGTATTTTGGAGGTTTTACATGTTTTTCTCACTC